TTGACTTTGCAAGGATGTAAATTTGAAAAGCAACTCAAAAAGAATTCAAGAAGTCATCCCCATGGATGCAAAAGAATTAGGAGAAATCATTCTTGTTTTTAGCTCTGTAAAGTGACTTTATATTCAGTGATTAGCACCAAAGAAGCAAAGTTTGAACTGAGGAAGCTACTTGTGCTCTGGTCCCTGAGCCTTGTGGTTTTCAGTATATTCATTGTGCTTTGCACTGGTGTTTATATCATCTATATTTTGGTGAACAAAAGCCTGAGTCAGTTTGTGATCAGAATTTTTACAGTGGACCTGCCAACCAATTTTGGGTTTATGCATTTGTGCTAAGCAAAGCACCCAAACCAGGAGATATGTATTTATTATTCTTAGGAAATAGGAACTTGTCTTCTTGCAATTGTACCATCATATTTCTGTGCTTCTCTACTCTTGGTACTTTTCTGAGGATAAAGGTGCTAGAGGTGACTTATAAGAACATAATCACCAGAGTTTGGCTCATGACTGTGAACAATGAGAGCATGTAATGAAGTGCTCCTACTATGCCTTGCAGGTAGCAGGCTTCAGGATCTTGTGGAAGTTTGCCATGTTCATCACCTCGTTCCGTAACTCTCAGATGGGGATGGATAGATAATTAAAGATTGCTAGGTAGCACAGTGTATTAGAGCACTGGACCTGTTGTTAGGAAGAACTGAGTTCAAATCTCTCCTCAGACACTAGATGTGTAACTCTGGGCAATGTATTTAACCTCCGTTTGCCTCAGTTTCCTCCCCTATAAAATCAGGATAATAATAGCATCATCTCTGAGTATTGTTTTGAGGACAAATTGAGATATTTGTAAACTGTGTGGCAAAACTTAAAGCATTATATAAATGCTAGCTATTATTATTATTGTTAATAATTATTATTTGGTCTTTTACTGGATGCAGGAAGACCAATGCCATTCTCACATTCAGAACATCATCTGCTCCTCACTCATGTGCCTCAGCTACTTTTCTGTCATTTCTTCTTTGAGGCCTACACCAACAAAATGAGGAAAGCAAATAAGGCTGAATAGTATCAGAAGTGAGAAGGAAACTATAACTCAGGATCATCAAGAAAAAACAGACAAAAGTAAAAGGCACAAGAATCATAAGATAGTGCAGCTAAAAATAATAATTAAAAAAGAAAACTTGGCAGTTTAGGGATAATTAGGCTGATATAACTCAGTAACTTTGTGATCTTTATTTTGGTGAGCATCTAGAGCTCAGCACTGATTTTTTCCCCACTAGACTGCAAGCTCCTTGAGAGCAGGGACTGTCTTTTGTGTTCTATATCCTTAGTACAATGCCTGGCACATAGATGATGCTTAATAATCTTTTATTGACTGACTGACTAATTCAACTCCATCACAAAGGATTGCTGCTGAGAGACTTTATCCCTCTTGTACCTGTCAACTTTAGAAAGAAAGAAAGAAAGAAAGAAAGAAAGAAAGAAAGAAAGAAAGAAAGAAAGAAAGAAAGAAAATTTTTACAGAGATCTGTTAAGAAAGAAAGAAAGAAAGAAAGAAAGAAAGAAAGAAAGAATATTTTTACAGAGATCTGTTAAGAAAGAAAGAAAGAAAGAAAGAAAGAATATTTTTACAGAGATCTGTTAATAAAGAAAGAAAAAGAAAGAAAGAAAGAAAGAAAAAAGAAAAAGAAAAAGAAAGGAAGGAAAAGCAAATGAAAATTATTAACAAATTTCTATAAAAATGTTCTATATTTCCGTAAGGACAAAAGACTTTTATTAAAAACAAAACAAAAAAGCAAGCTAACTTATTTCTATATCCTTTCTAACCTTTTTTGACATCAATCTTCAGTCAACAAAAGAGTCAAAAATGGAGATGTAGTGGGTATGTCTATAGAACTAGTGCTTTCACAGAAATGAAAAACTTCCTTGGGAGAGGTTGATAGTTTTAGTCCAAATGAGAAAGATATCTTGAAGGCCTCTAAAAATATCTCTAAGTAGAGCAGCTAGGTGGCACAGTGGATACAGCACCGGCCCTGAAGTCAGGAGGACCTGAGTTCAAATGTGGCCTCAGACCAAACACTTCATACTTACTAGCTGTGTGACTCTCAGCAAGTCACTTAACCCCAATTGCCTAAAAAAAAAAAAACCACCAAAAAAAAAGTCTCTAAGCTATGACTTGATGAGTAAGAGAAAAGTTTGATGTTTCCCACTGTAAGCTAGAAATTGTGTGTAACCCTTTGGACAGTGAGTGTGAAAAAATCAGCTGGGGTATGATACTTTGACCAGATTTTTAATGTGAGGAATGAAAGACAGCTACCAAGTTCCAAATGGGAAAGAATTTGTCCAAGTGCATTTCCAATAGAAGTTCAGCACTTTCTACTATTGCATAATATATAAAGGGTTAATCTTTATTCTCTTCCCTGAGCCTTTTTAAAAAAAAACTTGGGAGGGAAGCAGGAAGGAGTGAAAAAGGGAAAACCACAACTGGAAAATCTGAAAACTGGTCCTCTACTGGCTAGAAAATGGCTAGAAGAAAAAGAAAGTAATTCTGAGGAAAAGAAAAATAAAAACAAAATTACATAGGTATAAGCAATATCTATATTCTGTTCTATTTCTTTCACATACAGAGCAAGCCTGTGATATGGCACACATTTTATATTTTTACATTATATTTTTTAATTTTTTATTATTTACTTTCAAGAAGAATAAATAACTATACGACCATAGTGAGTATCGTGTTATCACTGTTTCTACACCTGCCACACCTGCTTCTTAAGCAGTGTAGAGTTGCTTAAAGCGCCCTCTTCTGGTCAAATGGAGAGACTACAAGGAAACAAATTTGGCCTTGACAATAGAAATCCAAGGCCCAGGAATATTTAATCTCTGGAATTTAGAAATCCATAAAATGGCAACCAGTCCACTGATCACATACAAATCAGTGTCAGGAAAAAAAAAGGGCGGGGGCATCTACTCTGGAACCCAGAGAATCATTTCTGAAGAGCCATATGCCTCGAAGTACATCATAATATTTCAGTCCTCTTCAAGCCAAATATGTCAGTCAGTCAAGTAGTATTTATTAAGCACCTACTATGTGCCTGGCAAAGCTAAGCGCTAAGTGCCTGGGAACATAAAGAAAGGGAAAAGACAGGCTCTGTTCTCAAGGAGCTCACATGTGGAGACCACGTGTAAGCAATTATGTACAAATTAGATATATACAGGATAAATTAGGGGTAGTCTCAGGGGAAAGGCACTAAGATTAAGGAGAATTGGGTAAGGCTGAAGGTGGGACTTTAGCTGGGATGTGAAGGAAGCCATGTGTAAAAATTCTTGCCATTTCTAAGGAGCAGTTAAGTAAAGCCATCTTGTGATGCTACAGTGCTCTAAACTCCATTGGTCAAGTACTTTAACAATTAGAAAAAATGAATAGATTAAGAGATTATATCCTATAGAATACACACACACACATACACACACACACACACACACACACACGCATGCACACGCTCACACTGTTATGGTTGCACAAAACTAGACTGCAAAGTCCAATAGAGTAGACACATCTTGGCTATTAGATGTGACTATTTTTTATGTGACTGTATTTCCTCATTTTGCTGGTATAGGCCTCAAAGAAGAAGATTAGGCTATTCTTGGCTATTAGAAAAGATTGTCATTTATCTTCTTGCTTTATTTAAAGGTATATTGTAGGAAGGATTTTTCAAATCTAAAATAACACATAGCAAATCATGCTTCAGAAAGCAGAACAGGAAGACTAGTGGTAGATGTTAAGACTCTCTAAGAGGGAAAGTGTGTATAGTAAGGCTATGGGGATGAATAGACAAAAGAAAACTAAAGGGGACACAGAGAGTGATTGATGAGTTGTTATGGGCATTTTGTGCATTGAAATTGATTTGGTGGAATGTAAGTAGTTATAAAGTGTATTGAAATTTGTTTTGTTGATGTTTGCTGTTACATTTAATTCATAATAAACATTATTCAAAGGGGCAGGAAGCTTGAGAGCTGCCCTTCCCAAAGAGGCCATCTTTAACCAATCCTCCTTCAAAACAGAGCTATACAACAGGAGGTCAGTCAATCAGCGCGTATGAAGTACTTGCTATGTTGCATGGCATTTGATATGAATGGTTTTTAACCAATTAAATAACAAAAAAGATATCCAGAATATGAAATTTAAAAAGAAGAATAAAGTCACATGCATTCCATGCAAGTTGTTTTTTCCAATTAAAAAAAAAACCAAGAAGAAAAGACATCCAGAAAAGGAAAGTATACAACCTCTCTCCCTCAGTCATTCAATTGGACCTCCAGCCTATTTCTTCTTGTCCTAGGTAGAGGAGACCTTTATAAAGACTGTATGAAATTGCCTCACTCTCATCATCTTCATCAAAATTAGTGACACAGAGGTGAACATAGAAATCCATCTTTATTGCACATTACTCCTCATTGGGCACAAACCAAAGAGGACTTTTCTTTCTGTTCCACACACAAGACATTCCAACTCTTATCCCTCTTCCTTTTCACAGTATGTGGAATGCACTCTCCTAATCTTTGCCTCCTAGAATTCCTAGCTTCCTTTCAAAGTTCACTTCAATGAATGCACGCGACCTAAGGCCTTTCCTAATTCCCTCCCCCTTTCCTAGCTGCTAGTAACTCCCCCTGACAATATTAATTTTTATTTACTTTGTATTTTTTTGTCTATACTTATTCATGTACATGTTTTCTCCTTTGATAGAATGTAAGCTCCTTGAGGGCAGGAACTATTTTGTTTTTTGTCTTTGTCTCCCTAGTGGCTAGCACAGAAAGTATAAATGTCACCAATTGTAACCCTTGGCCCCTGCATCAGTCCTTTCCTTTTCTATTTCAGAAATGCAGAGGAAGAATTTGAATAGCATGGACTGTAATTGTACAACCGTCCTACTTCCTTAATGTTGTTTTATTGATGCTGGATCTCCTATTTTTACTTCTTACTCTTGTGTTCCTTTGTTGTTTTTTTTTAGCTTCCAGCAATGGCAGGCCTGTGCCCCACAGACTGTGAGCTAACAACCCTGGATGAGGAGAACTTGTGGGAGATAATGGAGAACCACCGATTTAAGATTGTCCGCAATGTCTGCCCCAGTCGACTAACTCCCTACCTCCGACAAGCCAAGGTGCTGGATCAGCTGGATGAGGAAGAAATTCTGCACAGTCCCAAGTTCACTAACAATGCCATGAGAGTAGGTGAGAGTCTGGGACTGGGATCCTTCTCACAAGCCAGGTCAAGCCCATGAGTATTTATTTTGTCTTTTGTGTGCCTAGCATTGGGCTCCACAATTCAGGTCAGTTCATGAAACTGTTATCATTCCAGGCCCGGCATTGTAGCATCTGGACATGATAGTGTGGAAGGGAATGGAATTTTGTGTACAAGACTTCTGGGGACATGGCTTCTAGGAATTGGTAGCATATTTTGCTTTAGATTCTACATTAAGGCTACAAATGTGGCAGCTGCCCATTGCTACTTTGTATTCCATCTCCCTGAAATAGTCTATCTAGGCAAATACCCTTGGAGGTATTTCAGCTATGCCTAGAGAATTCTCTGTATGCCTAGGTCAGTGGCATAAGCAGATAATGATACATTAGGGAGTGGACACTATTTACTTTTGGGAGGTGCATTTAGACATGTTGTAAATAGAATGTCTATGTTCTTTCTTCTAAGTCCTTGTGTGTGTTTAACATGAAAATTACAATATTTTCTCCTCTTAAAATTTGAAGATGCAGCTCTTGGCATTATTTAACATATATTTTCACGTTTATTATAGTATAATTTTGCAGAGAACCTAAATGTATGCTGAATAAGATTGATTAAGGAGGCAAGTAGGTGGTGCAGTGGATAGCGCACCAACCCTGGATTCAGGAGGACCTCAGTTCAAAGCCGGTATCAGACTTACTAGCTGTGTGACCCTGGGCAAGTCACTTAACCCCATTGCCTAGCCAAAAAAAAAAAAAAAGATTGAATAAGCAATAGGATCTACAGTGATTGGATCCAGGTCTGATACTGAGAGTCACCTGCGGATCTGAAATATTTCCATGAACTTATAGTTTGAAGTGAAGATCCTAAAATGCTGAAGCAAATGAGGAAATGTTGCAAACCTGTTTACTCTAGACTGGAGGTTCATCTCTAGTAGGTTAGGAAATCAAAGAATCTGGGTCAGAGTTCTCTTATTAGTAAAAAATGGGGTTTTGAGAAAAAGGTACTGCCCAGTGCAATGCAGAAAAAAGAGGGTTTGATTTGGAATAAGAAGTCCTGGGTTTGAATCCCAGCTTTGCTACCTATTACCTTTATGAATTTGGGACCATCACTTAACCTCTCCCAGGCTCAGTTTCCTCATCTGTAAACTAAGGAGAGAAGGAGTGGATTATATGACCCTTGGGCCCTTTCAGCAATTAAAACTATAATCCTAAATATATAATATATTAATATAATATATATATAACATATATAATTAATATAAATATATATAATATAATCCTAAAATCCTAGGATTATTCCTTGGGGATTAAGAATGATACCCTTCTGTATGGTATGGGAAAGCAAACATGTATCTGATACAATTCAAAACCCAAGCATTTACCAAGATAGTACTGTACATATAAGTATAGCAAATATGAAAGTATAAGTAAGTATAGTGAGAAAAGTAGCTATAAAACAATTCCCGTGATAAACCTAGGGTGAACTGTCTCGCAGATACACAGCACCCTTTCTGCCCCTTATTTTCTCTGGTTACATCAGCTTGCTGGGGAGGGTAGACCAAATCCTGACCCTCCCTTATACAAGAATAATAAGGGGACAGTATGGTCCCCTTCCAGGGACCCTTCCAGATCCATCCCTTTCACCCCCATCAAAGACAAGGTTCTCTTACCTTATTCATTCTGTAGTGAGACTAGTCCATGCTCCTGCCTATAAAATGGTCCTTCTGTTTCGTAGGATACTTGCTAGATGTGCTGAAGACTCGAGGAAAAACTGGGGCCATTGCCTTTCTGGAGAGCTTGAAGTTTCATAATCCTGACATTTACACCCTGATCACTGGACAAGAGCCCTCTGTTGACTCTGACAGTTTCCGTGGTAAGATCTGGGGCTTTTCTCAGGGATCCATACTTGAGAGGAACTTCCTAGAAATGGATTAGATGTAAGTTACATCCCCTCCTCCCAATCATGACAATGGCAAAAATACCCTTTGGGGAAGTCCTATTCTGTCAATGAACCATTCTAAGCTTCATAGATAGGATCACAGGTTTAGAGCTGGAAGGAGCTCAGAGACCATCTGTTCTACCTTGCTAAATTTACAAATGAAGAAAATGAGGCCCGGAGAAGTTGAGTGATTTGCCCAAGATCACCTAGGTAGTAAGTTGCAGACCTGGCATTTGAACACATGTTGTCTGACTCCAAATTGAATGCTGAGAGGCTGTTAGGTGGCCAAGTAGATTGCATGAGGGACTTGGAATCAGGAAGACCTGAGTTCAAATTTAGCCTCAGATCCTACCTTTGTGACCCTGGACAGGTCAATTAACCTCTGTCTGTCTCTGTTGTCTCATCTGTAAAATGGGTATAAAAATATTATCTCCCTCCCAGGGTTGTTGTGACGAACAAATGTGAAAATACTTGTTTTGCACGCCTTGAGTCTCTATATAAATACTAGCTATTACTATCCTTATTATTTCCACCAGATGCTGATTTTGCTTTTCTTTAAACCAAGGAATCTGCACCTGCAATAATTTTATTTTGCTCCTTCTATTTTTCAATAGTCTAGAAGTAAACCACCCTAAAGGAAGAACATGGGAGAAAATATTTGCAGCAGCAAGTCAGTCAACATTATCCTTTGTACATTCACTCTGTGCAGGGTCCTCTACCAGGGACATAGAAAGAAAAGGAGAAGCTCAGCCCTTGCTTTTGAGTCATTTAGCATAGCTGCCACGAGGAAGGGAGGGACAACATAGTCCCAGGCATCCAGGGAGAGACACTGTTTAAGGGCCATGAGGGTTGGTGTTCCCCCCAAAAATAGAAAAAGAGATTACAAACCAGATCCTACAGCTTTGCAAATAACTCTTTATTCTTTTGCTCACCCAAGTCAAGTTTAATTTAGATGTAGTTAATACAAAAGAAGTTTTACTAATTTTTGTGCCTGTTGGCTGGCAAAACATTTGAGCCATTTCAATGATCATTTAGATAGTCATCTCTCAGTTATCCTTGTTAATAAAGAGGAGCAAGGCCTAGCTAATTCTAGATAGTGGGTAGTATGAAATCCTTTTTAATTTGACTTTGCAGAATATATATATATATATATCTCCTTATGTTACAATAAATTTGCATTCTCTGAATATGCACCAGTTGATGACAGGAGACAATGACCTGGAAATGTGGTGGGCATCAGTGGGAAACCAGCCAGAGACTGACAATTTTTTTGTAGATTATCCATAGCATGGATAATCTACAAATAAAGGAAGATCGACTATAATTTTTTAACTAAACTTCGCAGTTATGGAGGGTAGGCTGTTCCTTTTGCATTTTCTTGACCTTAATGAAATTTAACACAATTTATTCAGTATATACAGTATGCAACACATTATGCTAAGCCTGGAGATACAAAGGTAAAAATCAATACAGTCCTTGCCTTCAAGAAGTATCCAATATTATAGTCAACATTAGATATAGGCGTACATAGCTTCAAGATAGAATATGACAAAAGTAAAGGAAGAGAATGGATAAACTGCTGTAAGAAACATTTGTCATAGAAAAAAAATCTAACAACTCACTAAATTTAGAGTACATGTCAGATAAAGAAGCTCTATTTTTTTTTTGCAAGCCATGGAAGGGAGAAGCACCAGTTGATTGGCAGTTTCCTTTGTCAGCCAATATAAAAGCCCCTTTCTACTAGTATTTATGAATGTATGTTTTATACACACACACATATATACACATATATGCATATATACATATATGAATATATATTATATGTAATCAAATGAAGAATAAAATTGGGCAAAAATTAGTATGTATGATAAACTATATACAACTGTCATTGGAAGCAGAATAGAACACTTTGTTTCTGTCAAGGAAAGAACAATTTGTTTAGTAAATTGTTAGCAAATTGTTGGTCTCAAGGGCAAGGATCAAGGCAACTGCTTTTGTTTTGTTGTTGTTGTTTTCTATCATGGTCTTTCAAGTGGATTGAAATGAGGGCAAACTCAAATACAAAGAAATGTCTGCTCATTTTTGACTGAAATAGAGGTTAATCTCAAGGAAGAGTCCTTCACATCAACAGAAGAGGAAATGAGGTCTTTCTTTTTGAGCTTCCACACTTTCTACTTTGAAATGTTAATACTTTACTCAATGACATCCGTTTTTGATAGCTCTATAAATATAGCATATATAGTCTTTGGAACAGCAGTTAGGGGAGTAACTGGATGGTGCCGACAGCCTTGAGATGGCAGAGAGCTCTGGTCACATACCTCAGATATGGATCCACACATCACATTACAAAGCAATCCAACACTTCTTTCTGGAGGACATTGGAGACTTGTAAGATAAAGGGAAAAAAAGCAAAAAGCACAAATGAATATAGAGATTAACACTTGGATGAAGTTGCAGACCCAGGACTAGATGTCTAAATTATAGCTTTTGTCTTTCGTTGTTATGTGACTTAGGGGGTGGAAGACTAAAGCAAGCAATGTGTCCATTCTGAATTTGTTTTCCCTTTGTTCTAATGGAGTACATTGGTGCAGGATAGGAGACAGAGGTATCTGATTGCTTTGTAGTGTGATGTGTGGATCCATATCTAAGGTACATGTCTAATGGACTTGACAGTAGGTAGTAATTTTATTGGTATTGGTGGGTCCTGAGATCCAGCAAGGCTAAAGTGTATTTTTCCCATTGATGGGCTTTCATGTAGACCTGGTCTCCTGGCAAAAATTTTGATAACTGTTAGTGAATAGACTTAATACATTTCATTAATGCCTGACCATGATTCTTCTCTCATCTGTTCATTGGAGATCTGTTTGGTATGGGGTAACTGGAGGTCAAGGTGTCATTTGCATCCGATTCATCATGAAAATTTCATGTGGCACTAGGCTCTGCTTTATGTTTGCCGATTTCCCCATACACATTGGAGTCATGTGAAGAGCATCTGGTCACTTAAATCCAGGGTCAGCACAAATCAAACCTCTTAAGAATTTTGTTTTGTCATCCAATTGCTCCCTGTAGACTCAGAGTATAGAGGACAATGAAAATGCTGTTGGATCTTCAAAGCCTTGAATATTTCCTTTGAAATTTGTCCCATAAAATGGGCAGCTCTGTCACGACTGATAGAAAGATAACAAATCAAAAAATAAATTCTTTTAGTAACAGCATAGTTTTCTTCTAAAGGAAAGCTTCAAACCATCCTGAATATAATCAAACGATTACAAATAAATATTCAAAGGACCACCATTTTACAAAAGGTTTCTATGGTGGGAGATGCGCTGCTTGTGTCACTTCTGCAGGCTTCTCAGTGTTAGTTGCCTAGCACACAGGGACAGCTCAAGCAATAATATTAAATTTCGAAAGGAAATTTGAAGCCGCTAATGTTTTCTAACTGTTTCAATCACAAGTATTCCCCCTTTGCTCATGGTGCACCTAAGTATGGCTCTGAGAGGGAGGATGGAGCAAAGAGGTCCTTGAATCAGTACATGTCTTTAAGGTCCTCTGAGATGGGTTCATGGACCAAGATTCACCTGCTGTTTTTCTTAAATAAACTTCATGCTATGGTGCAGCTAGATGGCACAGTGCATACAGTATCAGCCCTGAATTCAGGAGGACCTGAGTTCAAATCCAGCCTCAGACACATAATACTCCCTAGCTGTGTTACCCTGGGCAAGTCACTTAACCCCATTGCCTAAACCAAAAAAATAAAAATAAACTTCATGCCTGTCACCAGCATTTTTGAGGTTACTAAAATGTGGGCACAAACAATAATTAGAAAATTGAGACAGCTAGGTGGTGCAGTGGATAGAGCGCTAGACCTCAGATACTTACTAGCTGTGTGATCCTGGGCAAGTCACTTAACTTCTCTTTGCCTCAATTTCCTCACCTGTAAAATGGTGATAATAATATCAACTACCTTTCAGGGTTTTTGTGAGTATCAAATGAGATGATAGTCATAAAGCACCCAGCACGGTGCCTGATGCATAGTAAATGCTATACAAATGTTAGTTTTTTTTTAATGGCTAATTCCTTTAAGAAAGTTATTCCACTCCTGTATTCTCATCATTGTATATTTAGATATACATAGTAAAACAGAAAGTTATTGTAAAGTGTATGGGATGTTTCCCATAATATAGGAATATACTGAAAGAAGGGGAAGGAGAATATTTTTGTAATTAAATCAGTTTGATCAAGTCTGCATCTACAAGTTATAGATTAACCTTTTTTATCTATGTAGGGATAAGCCTGTCTCAGCTGTTTGATCTAGGGTGAAGGTCAGAAATATTTTTGGAATAGCTGATTGATGAATCATAACTCCACACTATACAAGGGGTTTAATAACCAGACCCAGAGGTTAACAGATGGGAAATGTTTCCATTCAAAGACTAGCAGAACCATGGGGAAATATGTCAGCGAATCTCACCACTGTCTTTGTGATACTATCACCCCAAGCTTTCATCAAGTTAAACCTACCCAGGATTGAGTGAACATGGGGACACGCAAGGCAGCACCCCCTGTAGACTACTGTTAGCATCTTCCTTTGCTTGGTGGATTGTTGATGTATCAGCATAAATGCTTGTACCAGTATCAGAGTGAAATTATAATAATTGTGAATTATTATAATAATATATAATTATAATATGTTATCTATAGTTCCAACGTATTCTACCTTACACATTAAGTTCTACTGTTAACAATTTAGAATTGAGTTGTTACTCTTTTAATGTTAGTAGTACAAGATGTTCGCCTTTTTTTTTCAGCTGAAGCAAAATCATAATAATGTAACATTAAAAACTTCTATTCTTTGTACCAATCAAGTCCTTGTAAGATGGTTCAAAATGCTAACTCCTTTCTTCCCAGTCTATTAACTCTATCTTGCATACATA